GTCGTACGAACCCTTTGTACGAACAAAAGTAAGAGAAATTTAGCATAAGAATACGAACATGTTCTGGCATGAGGCCCGATCACTCTGCTATGGATGAATGCATAGGTTTGTGTGTTGTAATACACTCCATGTGTCACACATGTACATTTTTTCTTTTGTTTTTCTTTTTATCTTCTTATGGATTATTCATTCATTCATTCATTCATTTTTGCTGATAATTGTGCCCTCAGTATCTATCTTTCATCCTGCACAAAGACTGTTGTTCTGCCATGTGCTGCCTACGTTTGCATCAGTACTCAGCTGCAGTAAGTTATTCTTAGGCAAAGGCCTGGAAGGACCACGACACCACACTAAAAACTGAAGCATGAAGTTTGAGGATGGACTGAGTTATCTCTGCCTCTCACAACAAACCTCCAAGGATGATTATTTTCTTCGTGTTCAGATTCAGTACCTTGAGCAGAGGATCAGCATGCTGCAGGAACCAACCGACGACAGCATGACCAGCCTCATGATATGCTACAGTCTTTTTCTCTGTGGGCTGCAGGACCTGAGTCTTCTTTTCCAGACCTGACAACAGAATCCACTCTATGTTAAAGCAGACCTGAGTGTTTGTCAAATTTTCTCCAAGTGCACAGGTTAAAAACAAAAAACACATGGGCCACTGTACTGGCTGCTTGCTTAATCATTAAACACAAAAAACTTTACTTAAAAGCTATATGCGGTGGCCCATTTTTTTTTTACTTTTTTGCACTTAGAGAAAGTATGACATACAGCAGAAGCTCATGGGACATTTATAATTGATAAAAAGAGCATTTGTGTGCAAATCTCCATGTACTGTATGCTTACATCTAATCTAAATGTATATTGTAGATACTTGTATTTTATGTTTAATTTTAATAAATTTTAAAGATAAAGTCAGCACCATGAGGGAAGACTATCTGCACTAAAACCCTTACATAGTCATTGGACTAATAGAGTAAATTACTGTAAATGAAAATATATTGTTTCTACATAGGATGAAAGATTACAACCTTATAACCAGTTACTGCTGACAGGTTATTTTTGGGTTAAAGAATATTTGACTTTGACAAAGATTTATTTCAGTCTGATTTCCACAGGTGAAGAGGAATGTGTGGCTCCTCAGGGTGTTGTCTATGTTAACAAAATACTTTAAAAATCATAAATAGTTTTCACTTTAGGTTTCACAAAAACACTTAACTACAAACAACCGTAGGATTAATAGATAGTCAATTCAAACATTCTCTAACCAATAATACATGTCTAACCATGGTGGTAAAGTACATGTGTATGAGGAGTCACATGTAGTAAACAGAATAGTTAATTCATGAGTTACTAAACATTAAAATAGGAACGAGTTTGTTGGCTTGGGAAATAATTAACCTTTATGTGTAAAACAATAATAAATCTGTTAATTTATAGCTTATTCAGTATGAATTGCCCTCCATGAGTGATGTTTTCAAAGTTAACTAACCACTGATTAATGATTAAGTAGGGATAAATAAGGTGCGGTTATCACAGAAACAATCCAGGCAGTTCTGAGATGGCTGGGTCCAGCATGACACACTGACCTCCGATGACCCGGTCTATTGCTTGCTCAAAGTGTTTTGCGTTGACGGCAGGACTCAGGTGTCTGGCTGCGATCAGAGCTGACTCATTACAGACGTTTGCAATGTCAGCACCTGAATGATTGGCAGAGAAACAAAACAAGTTTCAGAACTCTCCTACTCATCTGAGCAAACATTAACAACATTCATTTATCTTAAAGAACACAATTCAATAATTTATTACGTAGACTTGAACTTGATATTGAGATTACAGGAACAGCTATACAATGGTTTGAGTCTTATTTAACTGACAGAGTTCAGTTTGTTAATGTTAATAAAGAATATTCTTCTTACACCAGAATTAGTCATGGAGCTCCTCATGGTTCAGTGCTTGGACCAATCCTCTTCACTTTATATATGCTTCCATTAAGTAAAGTTATTAAACAGCATGGGATAAATTTCCATTGTTATGCTGATGATACTCAGTTATATTTATCCATGAAAGCTGATGAATCCAACCAGTTACAGTACTTAAACTACAGGCATGTCTTACAGACATAAAAACATGGATGACTCTTAACTTTCTGCTTCTAAACTCAAATAAGACAGATGTTATGGTTTTTTTTGACCTGAACATCTTAGGGATTAACTTTCACCCTTTCACCTCCTCTGGATGGCATTAATCTGGCCTCCAATTCTAATGTAAAGACCCTCAGTCCATCAGGTCCATTCACATACAGCCTAAAATGTGATCACAGTCCTTCTGTTTGCATCTCTTTCCTGTCCTCTCTGACCACAGGGTAGTCCACTCTGAAAATGGTTCTGGTTCTGCTGGAAGTTTCTTCCCACTGTCACCTCTGTGCCTATCAGGGTGTGAAGATTCAATCTGAAGATTTCCTTAAACAGATACTTTTAACCACCTGTACAGAGCCCTGAGATGACTTTTTGTGAATTGGTGCTGCATTAATGAACTGAATTGAATTCTGCAAATCCCCTGCAACAATGCCATCAAACTAACTTGCAAAAAAACTAAAAATAAAAAAATAAACAAAATTGAATCTGTCCCAAACACTTGAACTGGTTTGTGTTGCACCAGGACCCCATGATTAAATCCCTAAAACAAGCAGCTTCTCACACCCTCCTACAGCCTCTGGAGCTACGTGTTGAGAGGAAGAGTTTCTGTCATACATATGTATTAAAACAGAACAGACTTGGTGCAAAATTCATACAATGACTTGTGAACCCAGGCTGATAAAAATGATCATCAAAACGCAAAGGAGTTACTTCAGGCAGCCCTTAGTTTTAATCTCTCCTGTCAGAGCCACTACACAGCTGCACAGTATCTGTCCAAATTCATTTACCATCTTTTAGTGTTGTGTTCTGTAATTTTAAGATCAAATACTTGTATCTTTTTGAATTTTCATTCCATTTATTTTAGCTGTTTTAATGCTTGTGGAAAAATATTTGTATTAGAAACCAGTAAAAAAAAGATTAAAAATAATTGAAATGTAAAAAAATCTCAATAAGTTCTGTTTGTTCTCACAAAAAATGATATACTGAGAACAGGATATTTTACATTTCTGTATGAATCATAGACAAGACTTTTCACAAGTTTTTTACAGCTCTTTGTATATACATTCAATGACCTGTAAACTGGAAAAGTTAGGTCCCTCTATGCGCGCCAAAATTATGAAACTGTTTCTGTTGAATTCCTTCTGAATAAATAGTTTAAACATCACATTGTCACCTCCTCTTGCACTGCAGTAGAACTGTAAACCTGCTAACACAAACAGCTCTGTGAATGTGGACAGAAACCACAGTTTAATGAAGACAGGAAAGTTTGAGGGGACTGCTTTAAAGACACGTTTTAGCCAAGCTGATCGCTCGATGGGCAGAAAAAAGCGTACAAAGATATTTAATGACACCAAATCTAACATTATTCTAAAATTACACACCAGTAAACCCTGGAGTGGCAGCAGCCATTTTTCTGGCCAGAGCTTCCTTGTCCAGACTGGAATCCAATTTGATCGGTCGTAGGTGGACTTTAAAGATGGATGCCCTGCCTTTGATGTCTGGAGGACCTGAAATAATACAGGAGACATAAGTGCTGTGAATCCACTGCATCCAAGCCTTTAAAGAAAAAAAAACACATTTTCTGCATCCCTGTGTGGCATAAGATGGATGAATGGATGAAATTTAGCCATTGTGCTAACTCCGGCACATTTATATCAACAGAATATTGATTAATGTGCAGTGTCCTTTTAAATATTTGTATATGAAATGAATCTTATCTGAATAAAATCTGGGTCACTCAACATCCCAGCTTTATCAGACTGTTTTTTTAATCTGAAAAGTAAATTAAGTGTAAGGAGTGTTCGTACCGATGTAAATCTGTCGGTCAAAGCGCCCAGGTCTCATCAATGCAGGATCCAAGATGTCAGGCCTGTTGGTTCCAGCCAGGACCACCACATTAGTAGCTGTGTTAAAACCTGCAGGCAAACAAGACAACAAGTGGATAAAAGTACCTGTTTAGTTTTATCAAACCATCCTGTGGTTCTCCTACAACCTACCATCCATCTCTACCAGCAGCTGGTTCAAGGTATTCTCCTGTTCACTCTGACCTCCAAAGTTACTCCCTCCTCTCTTCCTGCCCACAGCATCGATCTCATCGATGAACAGGATGCAGGGTGCGTTCTTCCTCGCCATGGCAAACATGTCCCTCACCTTCACAGAGCAGAGCTCGCTCAAACCTTCAGCCTCTGAGTGCTGCCACATCTTACAGCTGAGCTCCTTCACTCACCCTTGCAGGTCCAATTCCCACAAACATCTCCAGGAACTCTGAGCCGTTCACTGTGATAAAGGGAACGTTGGCCTCTCCTGCTGTGGCTTTGGCCAGCAGAGTCTTTCCTGTTCCAGGAGGTCCAGACAGCACTGCTCCCTGCCACAACACACCGGCCTTGTTTATAAACCTGACAGTAAGTGACACCCGACCCAACCCTCACTTTGTAAGTTATCACCTTAGGAATCTTGGCTCCGAGGTCCAGGTACTGCTGTGGGTGTTTCAGGAAGTTTACAAACTCCAGGATCTCCAGCTTGGCCTCTTCACAGCCAGCCACATCCTTAAACTTCACCTGAATGTTGTCCATCATCTTGGCAGTGGAATCAGTCACATTGAAGAGACTCCGCCCACCGCCGGAAGTTGCTCCTGTCAAGCCTCGCCGCACCATAAAGATTATGAAGCAAGTGATCAGCACAGTGGGGATAATGTTCATCAGGAAGGACCTGGACAGACATAAACACAGGTCTGGAATATAAATGTCACAGTACAATGGTAAGATGACGGTTTTTATCTTTATCAGTGGTTCCCATTGTGGTCCAGTGTTGTTTTTGACTGCCATTTTAATTTTAGTCTTAGTCTTTTGAACAAAAATACTTCTTAGTTTTAATCAGTTTTAGTCATTTCTATATTTAATGGTTTTAGTCAGTTTTAGTTATTTCTGTATTTAATGGTTTTAGTCGAGTTTTAGTTATTTCTATATTTAATGGTTTTAGTCAGTTTTAGTTATTTCTATATTTAATGGCTTAAGTCAGTTTTAGTTATTTCTATATTTAATGGCTTTAGTCAGTTTTAGTTATTTCTATATTTAATGGCTTTAGTCAGTTTTAGTTAT